TTTTTTTTTTTGCCAGTTTTACAATTTTAAACACACATATGCACACAGATGTGCACGAACGCACACACGCATACACACAAACACGCACACACTCTCTCTCTCTCTCCAAGGCAACCTTTAATATTATTCCAGAATCTTTGAATTGACTGACTGGAAGGAACAGGAGCTAAGGCTACAATTAGCTTTTGTACATGTATATTTACCGAATGCTGCAAGACTGGGAATAAATTCATAAAATGTTAATTTGGCTTTAAATATTGCCTCTGTACTTTTTGCCTCTAGTTTTAAGATGTTTTTCTAGGGCTTCCTAATTTTTTTTTTTTTTTAAAATAGCTTGCCTTCTCAAGGATGCTCACATTCTGTTCTGGGAGCATAAATATGGCAATTGAGAGCGAAACTCAGGTTATTTGTTTAAATAGTTAAACAGTTAAAAAAACCTCATCTTTTTATTCCTTCAGGCATTCGAAATCTGGCTCATAAAGTTTTAGATTATCTTTTCCCCAGTTTATTTGATATGCCATTTTATTTTGCAATCCTAGCCTGGGTATATTTCATTCTTTTAACTGGTTTGTGGCCTCTCCACGAAACGGTGGCGCAGAAATAGATGAGATGAAATAATTCTCTGCTCAAATTTAAGTGCCTTTAAATCTCCTCCATCGATTAAGTCCCTTTATTAGGGAAGCTTTTTTTTTTATTTTTGGAGTTGGGGAGTTTGCCAGATCCCTCACTGCAGTTTTTAACAACCGGATGTCTTCCAGAGACGTCGGATAACAGAAGTTCGAAGCAGGGGTGGGATTCTACCTGGTCGGTCCGGTTCTATAGAACTTGTTGTTATGATTCCGCCCAATTCGGAGAACCGGCAAATCGTGCCACTGGCTGGCCCCGCCCTGCCCACTCACTCCTTAGCTGGCATATGCACTATCAAACTTGCCTGCTAAATTGCTATTTTTCCTTTTTTCCCGTGACCATCAGCTGTTCTGCTGTGCCGGGAGATTTAGATGAGCTAGAAAGCAGGAAATCATTGGATTTCTTGCTTTCTAGCTAACCTAAAAGCAGAGCTGAACCTTCCTTAGGACTGAAGCTTCTATTTTTCAGTGCAGACTCAGGCAGCAGATTGCAGAAAGATCGATCTCTGAATGAATCTGTGATTTTGTGAGCAACTCCATCTGCCTGCCTGCTTTGCCTGGTTTTGGGTAAAAGTTGCTCTTTTTTTAATAAAAAAAATCAATATTTACATAAATATTTATAATATTTACATATAAGCCCAGCCAGTCATGTGACTACCAAGTCACCCCCCAGTCAGCAAGCCACGCCCGCCAAGTCACATGACCAAGCCACGTCCGCAGAACCGGTTGTTAAGAAATTTCAATCCCATCCCTGGTTTGAAGGGATCTTGGAGGTTTTCTAGTCCAACCACCTGCTGAAGCAGGAGACCCTATAGAACCTAGATACCATTTCAGAAAAAAATAGTTGGCTTAACAAAAAAACAACAACCAGTGTTTTGGGAAAGAGGTTTGTGCCTCTCCTTTTCACTCATTTCCGCAACCTCAATACCATTCGCGCCCCGTGTTCCTTTACCTTTAAACCACTTGGAGTCATGCTTCACCGTGCGTAGAGTGGGGTTGTCTCCCAGGCTGCGGTAAATCACGGCGTCGATGGCCAGGAAGTCGGTCACCGTGGCTGTGAACAGCATCCCTCCTACCCAGACGAGAGAGAAAAAAAAAGGAAAGAAAGACAAGAAAAGTGCTGAAGAAGTTATGACGAGTCAAAAAATGGAAAAGAGTTGGGAGCGGCGCCGTGGTGTAGAGCAGAGGTGGTATTCAGCCGGTTCTGACCGGTTCTGGAGAACTGGTAGCGGAAATGTTGAGTAGTTTGGAGAACCGGCAAATTCCACTTCTGACTGGCCATGTCCCCCTCTATTCTCTGCCTCCCATCGAGTCCCAGCGGATCAGCTGGGTCTCCTTTGGTTGCCCTGCGCAGGAGAACGGAGCTGGAAAGCAGGTTAGTGGGGTGGGGAGGGAATGGAGATTTTTGCAGTAATCTTCCCCTGCCACGCCCACCAAGCCATGCCATGCCCACAGAACCGGTAATATATTTTTTTTAAAGAATTTTTTTATTTTTGGACAAACACACAAACAAAACATAAAACCATCTTCCAGTTACATACATACAGTGTGTCGGTAGGTTATAATTTCTTTGTGCATCCTCTCCATAGTACAATTGTTGGTATAAATTCTCATATTATCAATCTAATATATATGTATACATTATTATCCTTGTTAATCATTTATTTGGCTAAACTATTATTCCTTCATTTTATATGAGATATTCAAAATTTTAAATTGATTTATAATATAACAATTCATATGATCATCCTAAATCCATCCAATAGTAATACATCTTTATATTATATTCTGTATAATTCTATTATCCTTATATTGTAAAATTCTCTAACATATTTCCATAATTTGTTTTCTAACCATTGATAAAATAAATCCCATATCTTATAAAATTGTTTATCTTCTTGTTCTCTGATTTCAAATGTCAATTTACTCATTTCAGCACATTCCATTATTTTCTTGATAACTTCCTCCTGTGTTGGTATTTTCTCATTTTCCCAATTTTTAGCAAATACAATCCTAGCCACTGTTAAAATATTTACAATCAATATTTCAATTCCCTCCTGTATATTTCCAATAACTCCCTCCCCCCCAAATATCTCTGGTTTAAAGTCTATGTGTCATTTTTTGCAACCATGCGTGGATTTTAGTCCAATATCTTTTAGCTTCTGCACATGTCCACCACATATGCTAATATGAATCCAGTATCTAATGACATTTCCAAAGAACCGGTAATAAAAATTTTTGAATCCCACCACTGGGTTAGAGTGCAGTACTGCAGGCTATTTCTGCTGACTGCTGGCTGCCTGCAATTTGGCAGTTCAATTCTGACCAGGCTCAAGGTTGACTCAGCCTTCTGTCCTTCCGAGGTTGATAAAAATGAGGACCCAGATTGTTGGGGGCAATATACTGTCTCAGTAAACCACTTAGAGAGGGCTGTAGAAGCACCGTGAAGCGGTATATAAGTCTAAGGGCTATTGCTAAGTGCTCTTTGTGGCTCAGGGTTGAACAATGGGGTCCTTGGTGCTCTCTGAGCTGGGTGGTTTTCTTGCAGACATTTCATGACCCAGCTAGGTAACGTCATCAGTGCTCGAAGGGAGCGGGGTTTGCGGAAAGGAGGAGGGGGTGGACCTTGGTGATTTTTGAGCTTGATTATTTCCTTGCAGGACTCAGCTAAGGAGTATCATTAATGCTAGAAGGTATTGTTTGCAGAGAGAGAGAGGAGGGGGAGGTGAGGGGGAGGAGGGGAGGAGGGAGAGAAGGAGAAGGGGGAGGGGAGGAGGAGGGGAGGGGGAGGAGAGAAGGGGGAGAAGGAAGAGAAAAGGGAGGAAGGGGGAGGAAGAGAAGTGGGAGGGGTTGGAGATAGGTAGGAGGGGGAAGATAAAGGAGAAGAGGAGGAGGAGAAGGAGAGGAGGAGGAGGGGAGGATAAAGGAGAAGTGGAGGAAGAGGGAAGGAGGAGGAGAGAAGGGGAAAAGGAAGGGAGGAAAAGAAGAAGGGAGAAGAGGTGAAGGGGGAGAGGTAAAAGGTGGAGGGGAGGGAGAGAAGAAGTGGGGAGGTGGAGGAGGTCGTTTGGGACCCTCAAGGAGCCAAATCAGGCATTTGGGGGCATCCTTTCCAACTCAACCAGCGTTATTAAAAGGTAGACAAAAGATATATCCAGCAGGCCTTCCTAAGCCATTGCAGGAAGATTTCTTCTGATTTCTTGGGGGGGGGGGGGGGGAGAGTGTACCACTTGGAGATCTTCGGAAGAGAGGTGGGAGGTAGGAAGAATTTTCATTTCCATTCTTGATGCAGGGAGAAAAACAACAACAACAACCCAGCTGCGCCCTCCCTCCCAGCGCACTGACCTGTAAAGAGGCCAACGTTGGCGTGCTTGGGATCGTAAGGGCACCGGGCCATGCCGCTGATATTGTCCCCCATCGGTTCTAAGTAGTCCATCTGTTGGGAAGAGAATGGGTTAGGACTGACCTGGAACCCCAGCCCAGGAGAGACCACCAGGACTGGCTTAGCTCTGGGGCAGAAATGGTGCAGAGCCGTGATGGCGAACCTATGGCACGCGTGTCACAGGTGGCACACGGAGCCATTTGTGTCGGCACACGAGCTGCAGGCAAACTTAACTCACCGCGCATGCGCGTGCCTCCCAGCTAATTTTCAGGCAGTTTGAGGCCTTTTTCAGCCTCCCAGAGGCTTGAGGAAGGCTTCTGCAGGCTTCTGCAGCCTGTGCAGGCCGAAAACCCGTTTTTTCACTTCCTGTTTTTCCGAAAATACCGGAAGTGACGAAAATGCGTCTAGTTTTTGGCCTGCAGAAGCCTGCAGAAGCCTTCCTCAAGCCTCTGGGAGGCCAACAAAGGCCTCAAACTGGCCCAAAATCAACTGGGAGGCGCACTGCAGGTAAGTGGGCGGTGGGGGCAAGGGATTACGTGTGCATGCGCAGGGGGCAGGGGGGGGGGCACATGGCCTTCTGGGTGCTGGCACGTGTGTGCGCAAGCAATTTTTGGCACAGGAGCCCCAAAAGGTTAGCCACCACTGGTGTAGGGTCTCCTGCTTAGGCAGGGGGTTGGACTAGATGACCTACAAGGTCCCTTCCAACTCTGATTATCTGTTATCTGTACAAAACCTTAAGCTTACAAATCTCAAGCAGTGGACTCGGGAGGCACAGATAGGTCAAAAAAGTCAAGATGGCGGCCATGGGGAAACGACTGAAGCTCTTCTTGTTTTTTTTTTTTTTTTTAAATGTGCATCACACCACTGTGGCTGACGTCCTGATTATTTGCCCCATGATCTTCCAGACACCCCTGGGTAGGGTCCCCCCCATTCAGGGAACAATTTAGGAATCCCCCCAACCCCTACAGGCAGTTCCCCGACTTACAAACCCCTGGGTTTCAGTGACCCTTTGAAGTCAAAAAAAAAAAAAAAAAAAGTGATTTATGACCAGTTTTCACTTTTGAGACCGTCGTAGCTTCAAACAGTCACTAAAATGAATGGCTATAAGTCCAGGAGGTACCTGCGCCCACCTGGAATAACCTGCATCCAGTTTGGGTCACCATGTTTTGACAAAAAGATGTCGAGACTTTGGAAAAAATGGCAGAGAAGAGCAACTAAGAGGATTAGGGGACTGGAGGCTAAAATATATTGCAGAAATTGGGTATGGCCAGTCTAGAGAAAAGGAAGGACCAGTGGGGACATGATAGCAGCGTTCCAGTATTTGAGGGGCTGTCTCTAATTGTCTAGAGTCTGCTCCTTGAGCCGTGGGATGGTCTAGTCTAGAAGACCTCCAAGGGTCTCTTCCGTGTTGGCAAACCTAGGCCACGCAGGCCGGAAGTGGCATGCAGAGCCATTCTCTCTGGGCATGCTAGCCATTGCCTGTTGCTCTTCCAGGTTCCAGTGCGCATGCTGGTCTTTATGCACGGCGGGAGCACTGGAGGAGCAGCTCCTGGAGTGCATGTGTGCGCTGGGCCAGTTGGTCTTTGCGCACGCATGTGCGTTAGAGACTGGAACACCAGGTGGCTGGCACGTATGCGTGTGCCGGGAAAGCTAAGCTTCCGGTTTCCGGCGCTCCCAAGCACGCAGGTGTCAAGGAGCTGTTCTCAGGTTTCCAAGGGATAAAATTCCCTTCCGGTTTCTGGCGCATGTGTGCGCTCCCGTTTTGGCACTTGGTGCTGAAAAGGTTGGACACCCCTGGCCTATACCATCTCAGTCAAGTGGCTGTCCGGTCTCTTCTTAAAAACCTCCAGTGATGAAGCTGACACAAACTTCTGGAGGCAAGGAGTTCCTCTGGTTAATGAATAGAATAAGAGAGTTGGAAAGGGGACCTTGGAGGTCTTCTAGTCCAACCTCCTGCTGTTAGGAAGTTTCGGAGAATTAACCAGCGAGGGGAACGATTAACCAGTGGAACCGCTGGCCACCAGAAGTTATGGCTGCTCCATCACTGGAGGTTTTTAAGAAGAGGCTGGACCGCCGGTTGTCTGGAATGGTGTAAGGTCCCCTGCTTGAGCAGGGGGTTAGACTAGAAGACCTTCCAAGGCCCCTTTGAACTCTGTTATTCTGTTAACTCAGACAGACAGACAGACAGAGATAGGGATGGACAGAAGGAAAGAGAGATGGAAGGAAAGAGAGATGGAAGAAAAGGAAGGAAGAAAGACGATTTGGATAGGGGGTTGGACTAGAAGACCTCCAAGGTCCCTTCCAACTCTGTTATTCTGTTAATTCAGACAGACAGAGATAGGGATGGACAGAACGGAAGAGGGAAGGAAGGAAGGAAAATGAAAGAAAAGGAAGGAAGGAAGGAAGATGGTTTGGGTGGGTGGTTGGACTAGGCCAGGGATCACCAACCTTTTGGAGCTCAGGGACCACCAAACTCATAATTTTAAATCCCGCGGACAAGAGACCCTGGGAAAATCCCCCCCAAAAGTCTGCAGGAAAATTCCCCACCCCGTTTTCCTACCGATCGATCATTCTTTATTTGAGAGCGCAGGATATCGTCTCCAGCTCCATTCTCAGGGAGGGGGGAGAGAGAGACTTTTGGCTTCATGCAAGGAAAGCAGCAGGAGCCGCAGAAGTCTCTCTTTCTCTCCCCAAAACTCCGCCAGAAATGAGTCTTTGTGAGGCTCGTCATGCTGGCACAGCCTCTTGGAGCAGGAGGCCTTGCAGGGTCCCAAAGACTCATTTCTGGTGGGAGTTTGGGGGAGAGAAAGAAAGACTTCTGCTGCTTTCCTTGCGTGCAGCCAAAAGCAGCAGAAGAAAGAAGCGGAAAGAAGCAGCCCGGTGGCCAGGCCAGGTGCGTGGGGCGAGTGGGGCAAGTTCCCCCCTCCCCCCTTTCCTCCCTTGTGTTGGTCACAATGCAAGCGACGCAAGCTTTGTGTTCCCGCGGGCCATGTGGGCAGCGCAAGCCTTGCGATCCACACAGCCTGGATTAATCGCTTTGGGGGGACAACATTTCTCTGCGGACCACCAAAATTTTCTCGCAGACCACCAGTGGTCCCCGGCCAACCGGTTGGCAAACCACCGGACTAGATGACTTACAAGATCCCTTCCAACTCTGTTAATTCAGACAGACAGATAAGAGATACGGTTGGACAGAAGGAAAGAGGGAAGGAAGGAAGACGGTTTGGATAGGGGGGGTTGGGCTAGAAGACCTACAAGGCCCCTTACAGCTCTATTCCGATTGATTGATTGTACGTGTCAGTTGGGAAGTCATGCAGAGGAAGTTCAGCGCATGGCATCAGGTACTCACACTGTAATCGGAGCAAACGGGGTTGAAGGCGTTCGTCCCACACACAAAGAGCACGTTGTCGTTGCGTAGAAGCAGCACTTTGATAAAATTCCGGCATTCTGCCTGAGGAGGGAAAATATATTCTATCTATATAAAAGCGAAAGACCACTCACGCATCATCACAAAATCTCCAGAACCATAAAGCCTACAAACTTGAAAGTTGCAATGTATGTTCCACTTGGCTTTTAGGTGCTCGCTAAGAAAGGATTTTTTGAAATGGCCATCACAGCATTAGTATTTCCTATATTATTATTATTATTATTAACACGCTCTGATGCTAAGGAGTTCTACTCCCCCTCCCCACCTGAAAAGAAATCTGCTTCAAATGCAAAACACAAGCAGAGGAGGTTCAGTTTCACAGCACCAAGCAGCTTTAGGACAGAACAATTGAGTTAAGCCACGCCCAGGCTCTTTGCTGTCTCCTTCGTGTTCACATAGCAAATACTGTTTTACTTTCCAAACAGCCCTCAACTCTCTCACACACTGACAGGATGCTAGCCAGATGAATACTGATGGATGCTGATAGGCGGAGGCAGAATATTTTCCCCCTTATTTTCCTCCCCAAAAACTAAGCCCCACCACATAGTTTTGTAGTGGCATGGGTATTGAGCTAGTGTGTGTTGTGTGTATGTGTGTGTGTGTATGTGTGTGTGTGTGTATATGTATGTATGTGTGTGTGTTTATGTGTGTATGTATACATACATATATACATACATACATACATACATACATACATATATATAGGTCTTGGCATGTTCGGGTCTTTTCCCGTGTACGATTGAGAGTATCTTGGCGACGTTTCGGCGAGGTCCCACTCGCCATCCTCAGGCTGGTGCTTTCGGCTTCGTCCCAGTGCAAGCAGTATGTGATCGGAGCTGCCGTCTCTCTATAAATACTGGTGGTGGGGGCTGGTGTGCTGGGCTGGTTGGCTGCGCTGCTGCCTCTTGATTGGTTGATGGAGTTGATGTTGGTATAATGGGCTGTGTGATGGCCTTGTGAGTTTTGTTGTGGAGATATCCTGGATCTTGTGCTGTAATCTCCTGGGTCGTTTGTGTTGTAGTGATCTTTTTTCCATTAGCCTCTCGTGTTTTAACGGCTTGGATAATGGGTTGTGTGATGGGCTTGCGAGTTCTTTTGTTGTGGTATCCCCAAATATATATATATATATGTTTTCTTAAGTTTTCACGGGTACTTACATGTATGCTATTCAGCTTTGTTCGGGTATTTTCCCATGTCATTATAGTTTTGCTTTTAATGTTGTAGCAACGTTTCGGCAGAATCTCATCTGCCATCATCAGGCTTCTGTATTGTGTTTGTCTGTGAGTCAGGCTTGCCAATGGACTTTGCTGGTAAGGAGGTCACAAAAGGAGAATCAGGAGATTCCAGGACGCTGCAGCCATCGTAAATACGAGTCAGTTGCCAAGTGCCTGAATTTTGATCCCATGACCATGGGGATACAGCAACGGTCATTAAGTGTGAAAAACGGTCATAAGTCATTTTTTTCAGGGCCGCTGTAACTTGGAACAGTCACTGAACGAACAGCTGTAAGTTGGGGGACTACAGTAGCATTTCTGTAACAACAAACCTATTGAATCGGTAAACCCAAAATCAAGATTTCATTTTTTTTCCCTCCCCATCTCAAGCACAAAGTCCAGCAATGGTTTCCGAGTGGAAACAAAATTAATTCTGTTTTTTTCCTAACTCCGTTAACTTTTGCAGCCAGTCGTCCACTGTGGCAATCAATCCTTCCATTTTTTGTGCATAAAGTACAACCTCGACGTACGACCGCAATGGAGCCCAAAATTTCTGTTGCTGTTGTGACCCGCCAGTGGCAAGCAGAGCTGGCGGCAGATTCAGACAGCGAGGAGGTTGGGGAGGGACATGGGCCAATCCTGGAGTCTGGGGAAGGTTCTGACGAGGGCTCTGCGTCGGAGGCAGAGATGGGGCCCGGGCCCTCCGACAGTTATCAGCTGCCTTCAGAATCAGACATCAGTGAGGCCGAAGAGCAGCTGGAGCCTGTTCCCAGTGTGCGCATGCACAGGGCTGCCAGAAGAAGGGAACAGCAAAGGAACAAGGGTCGACTCGGGAGTAAAGTCACAGGTGGACGGAGAATGACTCCTCCCATAGTGAATAAAAGAGGAGCGAAAGGGGATTGGAGTTTTGCAGGAGACAATTAGTTCATTTGGGTGAAGATCTGCATTCAGCCAATTATTGTCTGCTACAGTGTGGCATCTGAAAGATATCGGCCTGGCAACTCTCCAAGCCTGATAAAGGTCTGTAGTTGTGAAATTTCTTGAAAGACGGTTGGCCGGGACTTTGCTGGAGAGGAATTCACTGTAAACTAAATAAAAGCGGTTTATCGGGTCGAGGAGTCGGCTTCGTGCTGTCGGGGAAAGCCTAGGTCAGAACTGTTGCTAAGCGAGACAACTGTTAAGTGAGTTTTGCCCCGTTTTTAATGACCCGTCTCGCCACAGCTGTTGAGTGAATTGCTGTAGCCGTTAAGTCAGGAACACGGTTGTTAAGTGAATTTGGCTTCCCCTTTGACTTGGCTCGTCAAAAGGTCGCAAAAGGGGATCGTGTGAACCCTACAATCCGTCGTAAATGTGAGTCAGTTGCCAAGCGATTGCATTTTCATCACGGGGATGCTGCCGACGGTCACAAAGTGTGAAAAAATGGTCCTTTCCCCCCCCCCAGCGTCTTTCTAATTGCAGTCACAAAACAAACCGTCGTAAGTCGAGGATCACCTAAACCTTGGATGTTTTGAGCCTTGCACGATGATTCAGGCTGGTGCTGAAGCTGTTGGTACACGATGTCCTTCAACAATCACATTTCCATCCTCCCCTCCTTCTGTTAAGAAACACGCCCGTTGTTTTGCAAATCAGGTTGGTGGGAAAAACGATGTTATTTTGGACTGGCAGCTCCTCGTCTTCGTCTCCCAAACGAGGCTTTTGTGCTTTTTTTCTGGAGATAATATTCATTGTCCTTTAGCTTCTGTAACCCAGCACCTTTCTCGCCCCCCCCCCACCTTCTTCTCCCCGGTTTCTATGGTTGCAGAACGAGGCCGGAGAAGAAGAGAGAGAGAGAGAGAAAAAAAGACATTCTTTGGGGGGGGGGGGGAGGAAATAATAGACATACAGGCACAAAGAGTGTGTTACTTCCACCATTCCTTCCTTCTCAATGTCAGTTTTTTCACCGTTGTGTGTGTGTGTGTTTTTTTTTTTAAAAAAGCTTCATGTTTCGGCCGACGGGGGAGATTGAAAAGGGACTATTTTATAGAATAGAATTCTTTATTGGCCAAGTGTGATTGGACACACAAGGAATGTATCCTGGTGCAAATGTTCTCAGTGTACATAAAAGAAAAGGTACATTCGTCAAGAATCATAAGATGCAACACTTAATGATAGTCATAGGGTACAATAAGCAATCAAATTCTACTAGGAAACAGCCAATATAAATCGTAAAGATACAAGCGACAAAGTTACAGTCCTACAGTCACAAGTGGGAGGGGATGGGTGATAAGGAGTGATGAGAAGGTTAACAGTAATAGTAGTGCAGACTTTGTAATAGTTGGACAGTGTTGAGGGAATTATTTGTTTAGCAGAGTGATGGTGTTCAGGGGGAAAAACTGTCCTTGTGTCTAGTTGTTCTGGTGTGCAGGGCTCTATAGCGTCATTTTGAGGGCAGGAGTTGAAACAGTTTATGTCCGGGATGTGAGGGGTCTGTAGATATTTTCACAGCCCTCTTTTTGACTCGTGCAGGACGCAGGTCCTCCATGGAAGGCAGGTTGGCAGCCATTGTTTTTTTTCTACAATCCTAATTCCTCTCTGGAGTCTGTGTCTGTCCTGTTGGGTTGCAGAACCAAACCAGAGAGTGATGGAGGTGCAGATGACAGACTCCATTATTCCTCTGTAGAACTGGATCAGCAGCTCCTTTTGGGCAGTTTGAGCTTCCTGAGTTGGCACAGGAAGAAACTTCTTTATTGTGATTTTTTGATGGCTTTTTTTGATGTTAGGTGTCTATTTTAGGTCATGTGATATAATAGAACCTAGAAATTTGAAGGTCTCTATTGTTGATGCTGTGTTGTCTAGTATTGTAAGAGGTGGTAGTATGGGAAGGTTTTCTTCTAAAGTCTACCACCATTTCTACAGTTTTGAGTGTGTTCAGTTCCAGATTCTTCCGGTAAGCTCACCAAATATCTCCTGAAACCAGAAAAAAGGAGCTGGAAATTGATTCCAATGCTCCAAAATGAATATCCGGAGGTTGGAAGCTGTCTTTGGACATAGTCATAGAACATAAACATCACAGAACCGGAAGGGAACCTCGGAGGTCTTCTAGTCCAACCCTCCCTGCTCCAAGCGGGAGACCGTATCCCATCCAATGGTTCCACGCTCTGTTCTTGAAAGCCTCCACTCACGGGGAAGCCACAACTTCTGGTGGCAAGGCGTCCCACTGATTCATTCTCCTCACGGTCAGGATATTTCTTTTTAATTCTGGGCTGCTTCTCTCGTTCATTAGGTTCCATCCATGGCTTCGTGTCTTGCTTTCTGGTGCTTTGGAGAATAGCTTGATCCCCCCGCTCTTCCTTGGTGCGGCAGCCCCTCAAATACTGGAAGACTGCTAGCTATCATGTCACCCTTAGCCCTTCTTCTCACGACACTAAACATATCAAATTCCTGCAACTGTTCTTCGTAGGTTTTAGGCCTCCAGTCTCCTAATCCTCTTGGTTGCTCTTCTCTGCACCCTTTCTAGAGTCTCAACATCTTCTGTGTATCACGGTGACCGGATTTCAGAATGGGCTCAGAATAATAGAATTGGAAGGTACTTTCAAGGTCTTCTAGTCCATCCCCCTTGTCAGGCAGGAGACCCTATATCATTCCAGACAAGGGTTTAATCCCTGCTAAAATGTCTTCAGCACCCACAACTTCCAGAGGTGTTAGGTGACTTACATTCCTGATTAATTGTTCTCACTGATAGGAAGTTCCTCCTTCATTCCAAGTTGCTTCTCTCTTTGATTACTTTCCATCCGTTGCTTCCTTCCCTCTGGTGCTTTGGAGAATAGCTTG